CATTAAGACAAAGGACACTGCTGCTAAGTTGCTTCAGTGCTCAACTCTTTGAGACCCTATGGACTGTAGTCTGCCAGGCTCCTCTGTCCATGGGATTTTCCAGGCAAGAATACTGGAGTGGGTTGCCATTTCCTCCTCCAGGGGATCTTCCAGACCTAGGGACAGACGTTTATCAGGTATATGTCTCCTGTATTGGCAGGCGAGTTCTTTATTACTGCCACCTGGGAAACCCAGAACAAGGGATAAGTTTATGTAAATCATTGAGCAAAGATTTACTTCTTCCCAGAAGCATGCCTTGTTTTTCTCCTTCAAGGATTTAGATTGGGCACCAGAATGTTCAAAGTGGGAAGAGGTTCAGATATATGTTTCTGTAGGACTTGAGCACCCTAGGGTGAATGCATTGGAAATGTACATAAGCTCTTTAAATTCCCTACTTGAAAATGACTTATGGTTTCACTTGGAAAATATAATATGCAAATCATGATCCCAGAGAGTCTCCTAACTCAGGCTAAAGGATATTTAAATGGACATCAAGACATGCTGATTTAAAAGTAAACTTAAAATACTAATTTAACTTTATTATGAGAAAAATAAAAGATTTTAAAGTTAGAAATTATAGAGAATAATAATCACAACTTTTTTTAAAATTTTTATACATGTGTGCACTAGCATGTTCACCACCTCCTCCAACACACACATGCAAATGCACACACTGATGTAAAGCTTCTTATTTAGAGATAATTTGTTGGGCTTGTTTTCAGAATCAAATTAAGATGGCTAATCTCCAGGTACATTTGAAATAAGGAATTATGTATGAACGCTTTCAGTTCCATATAGTCTTCTTCAGAAACCTGTGACCAAGCATCTGTAGGTTATGCCCCAGCCTTGTGGTAAATTAATTAAGCCCTTGCCAAAAAAAACCAAAAAACTTTATTTTCCAATGTAGCACTGCTTTTTGACTAAAGGAATCCAGTTGTTCTTTATTCAATCTTTGTATCTGTGTCTGGTACCTGCTTTTCCATTTTTAAACCATCATTTCTTATCATAATTTATGTATTATTTTCAATATGTTGATTTACAATTGACTCATATTTTTTTTGTAAACTGCAAACTCCAGTAAAATATTGTTCAGTAATCCTGATCTATCTTGTTCTCCCCAGATAGAAAAGCAAAGACCTATGTCTTCTATGAGCTTATTTTTTTTTGGTGTCAACAACTTCAGGTGTGTTTTTGTTGTATTCTCTAATTTTTCAGCACAAACTGAGAAAGTCCTACTTTTTCTATAATTATTAATCAGTTCAGTTGTTCAGCCCTGTCCGACTCTGCCACCCGATGGACTGCAGCATGCCAGGCCTCCCTGTCCATCACCAACTCCCGGAGTCCACCCAAGTCATGTCCATTGAGTCGGTGATGCCATCCAACCATCTCATTCTCTGTCATCCCCTTCTCCTCCTGCCCTCAATCTTTCCCAGCATCAGGGTCTTTTCCAATGAGTCAGCTCTTCACATAAGGTGGCCAAAGTATTAGAGTTTCAGCTTCAACGTCAGTCCTTCCAATGAACACCCAGGACTGATCTCCTTTAGGATGGACTGGTTGGACCTCCTTGCAGTCCAAGGGACTCTCAAGAGTCTTCTCCAATACCACAGTTCAAAAGCATCAATTCTTCGGTTCTCAGCTTTCTTTATAGTCCAACTCTCACATCCATACATGACTACTGGAAAAACCATAGCCTTGACTAGACGGACCTTTGTTGGCAAAGTAATGTCTCTGCTCTTTAATATGCTGTCTAGGTTGGTCATAACTTTCCTTCCAAGGAGCAAGCTAGATCATAGTAAATGCAAAATAAATTTTACTAAGTGATAAGTGTAAATGTCTTTTCCTGTCTGTCTTTTAAATTGGAATTTCTTTTCTATGTCAATAAACAGATTTTGTTTCTTCTGTGTGCTTGTGCATGCATGGTAAGTTGCTTCAGTCATGTCTGACTCTCTGCGACCCTAGGGACTGTAGCCTGTCAGGCTCTTCTGTTCACAGGATCCTCCAGGCAAGAATACTGGAGTAGCTATAGGATCCTCCAGCCAAGAATACTGGAGTAGCCTATTATGCTCTACTCCAGGATATCTTCCTGACCCAGGGACAGAACCCATGTCTCCCGTGGCTCCTGCATTGAAGGCAGATTCTTTACCACTGAGTCACTGGGGAAGCCCTCTACATGCGCTAACTTTTGTTTTTTCCAAGAACTCTAGTTTCTCCATTGTCAGTTGCTACTCTAGCTGCCATTAAGAGTTCCTTTGGAGACTTCATCAAATACTTGCTAAGAATAAATATTATTTTAAATGTACTGTATAAACAATACACATGTTGGAAAAGAAAGTCTCTTTCACTAGCTACTTTTTAATAGACAGAAATCTGCACACACACACATACCTGCCAAGATTTTGTATCCTAATCCCTGAGTTGTTAGACTGTGTTTATAATGAAATATGATATTGATGATTATAGAGGTAATTAAGATTCCTGATCAGTCAACTTTGAGTTAATAAAAGGAGATTATGTACATAAACCTAATATAATTATATGCACCTTTAAAAGTAGAGTGTTTATACAAATCAGTAATAGAATAAGGACCCAAGGTGATTCAAAGTTGAGAAGGACTTGACAGAGAGTTATTGGTTCAAAGGTACAAAGGGTCACATAAGAAGGAATTCAAACATCCTCTAGGAACAGAGAAAGGGTCCTCACTGACAGCCTGCAAAAAAGTGGGGACCTCAGAGTTATTGTCAGAAGAAACTGAATACTTGCAGCATTGTCAATGAGTTTAGAAGTGGATTTTTCTCTAGACCCTACAATCAGAGTGTAGCCCAACAATCAGCTTGATTTTGGCCTTAGGATACCCTAAGCAGAGAGCTCAATCAAGCCTACTAGACTTCTGACTTACAAAATCATGATATACACAGTGTTATTTTAGTTATTTATTGTCCAATAGCATTAGTTTTCTATTGCTGTATAACAAACTACTACAAACTTCCTGCTAAAATAGCACTCATGTATAATATCATAGTTCTGTAGGCCAGAAGTCTAGTAGGCTTCATAACTAATAAACTAACATTTAGAGAATTCACGTAAGTTATCAGTTAGCTACTGCCACAAAATTGCCACATGACAAAGGCCTGTTTTGGCATCAACGTCTTACAACATTGCAGATTTATTTTTAACTCACATGCATGATTCAGGTAATTCTGGGTGGCCTCGGCTGGGTACGTCTTGTAGAGATGTCTGGTACAACTCTTTCTCATACACCTATGTTTCAACCAGATGTCTTCTCCATCCTATCATTTTCTTGCTTTTTCCTTCTTAAATCCATTATACTCTTCTTGGATTTATTATAATCGTATCTCTCCCTATAGTTAAGACCCAGATGCCTTTTCAATCCTCAGGACAAAACTTAACACAAAATGTTGTCTTCTATGTTATATTACCCATCTCTTAGACCTAGTGGCTCCAATTAGCTCATTCTGATTAAAACATTGTTGTATTCCCAATACCATACTAACATTGTTTACCCTACTGACTGCTATATAAACACACCAATTTTCCTGGAAGTAATGAGAGATTTTGACATATTAACTATCACATCATTTATGAATTTTTAATTACATTATTATTATTAAAACACTGATGTGCTTAATGGCTAGTATGCTGATGGTTAAACTGATTTATGTAATAACATTGACTGCCAAATAATAGTGACTGATACCATAATTGGCTAATGCATAAACTGACTGATTTATACTCTGCTTTTTCCCAAACAAATGTCCTGTTAAAATTTACCAATAACTCACCAACTACCTGAATACTTTGTCATCATCAGACCATCCAGACTCCAAGTTTTCCCCAAAGTTGCACATGAATGACCAGTCCTGACTTTGTCTCTCCCTATGGAGTTCTTATCTAATGATTATTTCTAAGCCTTAGTGGAATAGCAACTCTTAAGGATAAGCATTGAGGTAACAACACACACACAGTTTTGTCCTATAACTAGCCTTGTCTCTGAAGGCAAAAGGCACAGAGAAGGAGAAAGACAAGAGTAGAAATATAACACAGGGATATATGAGAGAAAGAAGAGTGAACACAGACAACAGCACAAACAAGAAGAAGAGATGTAATATAAAGAATGATTGTCATGATGACCCCACCTTGTCCATTCACTCAACATCCATCTCTCTTCCCCTTTATGCCTCTTCCAATAAATAGAGCATTGTAGGGAAAATATCTCAATAGTCCTAAACTAACAAGAAAATCTGGGTAGCAACTTGGATCTCTTGATTATTCATATAAGCACCTATAATAAAAAAAAAAAAAACACTGCTTAACTATAAAAGTCATTATTTTCCAGGGAATTAAACACTATGCTGCAATCTGTTACCCTGGAAAGAATCCATAAAGACAAATAGCTTTCCTCAGTGTTCTATATATGTTTCTGCAACATGTGCTTGAAGGAAGAGTAGTCCAGGAAACCGGTCAAAGTTATATCCCTCTATTATCTCCATTCCATTCTCCCAGGACCACCAAATCCTTACCTAGGGCATCAGAAATTAAGCAGAAAGGTGATTGCTGGGTCTTGATGTAGAACCTGGTGCAAATATCATTTCTGACCACGGGGTATACTGGCAAAGTTATTTGTATAGAAAAAGGCTCCCTAGGGTCCCTCTGGCTGCATATAATTAGGCTTCTGGGATATTTTTTCCTAGCCTACTCTGGGAAAGAAGGTAGGCCCCCAGAACTGTGGTCTATAACTCCACATTTTTATTGCAGACAGAAAGCAGAATTATAACTGAATATAGCAGATAGAAGTCATGCTCTCATATCACCTTTGTCCTTTCTGATCTCCTTCTCAACAGAGAAGACACTGTCAAAACTGTATTTCATTTTATCATTCCTAAATCTTGGAGTAAGTAAGGTCATTAAACTTAAATGAGACTTGAAAATTCCCTGACACTCACCTTTTCTTGGCTTCAAATAAAGTCATTCATTACAGTACTTGACAAATGCATTCTTGAAGCCATGTTTTCTCACAGATAAGTGGAAGTGCTGATATATTTCTTCAAGCAGTAAGTTTTCTGTCTCTTGGTCATAACCAGAGGTCATTGCTCTTGCCTCTAAAACAATTCAAAGCAAATAAAAAGAAAAAAATATTTTACTTTAAGTATCAAATAGTAAGATGACATGCTAAAGGTAATCTTTCCATCTTTGATTTTCCCTGATGGTTTGTACTTGTGTAGAGAGGACTATAGTCACATTCTGGCAGAAATAACTACCTGAGGGTCTTTACTATTTTGTCTCAGCCTTATACCCTAGATTTATCCTATAACCTAGCCCAACTGCAAGATCTTGAAATGACAATGAGCACAATGTGGTCAAACATGCTGGTAACAATCTGACATTTCAGATTCAGTTAAGTTCTTCCTGAACTTATACTCAAAACTCCTTCTGAAAACCAGTGTGTGTGCATGCGTGCTCAGTTGCTTCAGTCGTGTCTGACTCTTTGCGACCCTATGGACTGTAGCCTGCCGGGCTTCTCAGTCCATGGGATTCTCCAGGCAAGAATACTGGAGTGAGTTGCCATGCCCTCCTCCAGGGGATCTTCCCAAACCAGGGATCGAACCTGAGTCACCTGCATTGCAGGTGGATTCTTAATGGACTGAGCCACCAGGAAAGCCCTCTGAAACCCAGTAAGATTTGGAAAATCATGGTTTGGAGTCAGTTTCTGAGAATGACTTGGATATGGATGTTTTATACCTGAAAATTCTTTGTACTAAATATAAATTTAGAGAGTCCTTGATTTGGGGGAGCCATATTTTGAGCTCAAAATGAGGTGGAAGTAGCAAGCAACTGAGATAACCTACATCATTCAAGCTGCCTCTCCTCATTTCAACAAGAGTAGATTTACACTCTCATTTACATAGCTCTCCTCTCCTTTATGTGTAACACCATTCCTGGCACCAATGACATCAATAACATCTTCTGTAGTTTCATCTCCTGAACTCACCTAGTTTTTTCCTCTGCTCTAATTATGATGTAATAAAGATGTAGTGTCTACCCTTTGAGGATATTTTAACTTGAGTCACAAGTCCCTTTTGAATTGGTCAGAAAATTTCAGTCAAATAAGAATAATAACTTATTCCTTGAGACATTTCACACTTTTAAATTGAAACCAAGATACATGTGCAGAAAGCAACTATTTTCCTCTAAAAGTGTGGAAATCTATTCCTTCAGTATCTCAGGCTGTGTTCAAAGCAAAAGAAAGGAGAGAGAACTACATTTTCTACTCAGACAGAGTTACCCACTGATAGACGCTCTGGAGTGGGCTCAACAGCTGAGTAAAAGATTGTGATAGGAAGGTAAGAATGAGGACAAAGGTAGGAGAAGATCCTGACTGTCTATTTCCTCTCATTTATCCTTGGTTTCTCTAACCACAAACAATTTTTTTCCTAAGCAGGTACTGCTTTGAAAAATAAACATAAACTTACCATTCCTGAGACATAGCCACAATCATTTAATGGAGGAGATAGAAACTGATAAGATAATTGGGATGATAAGTGATACAACACTGATCAAGAAATAATTTTTACTTCTTTTTAGAAAAATTCCTGCCTCAGTGACCAAACAATGTCTTTGGATATCTGTAAGGGAATTGTTTAGAATTAGAGATTGATTGGCTATAAATAGACCAAATTTTATCCATCTCAACCTAACTTTTTTATCCTTATAGCTATTCTTATCTGCCACCTTTCAAATTCTAAATAAAAATGTTTTAGTTACATGATAGACACACCTCGAAACAACTAAGGTGGGTACTTGACACACAAGAACTGAGTGTCAAGCAGAGATATTTAGTATAGAGAATTTATTTTTAATTGCAAAAAACTAGATCAAAGACCTGGGCTTAAGGAAATACCTTGGATGATTTGTAGCTCTATTTTGACAATTATTTTACCAAGAGATTTGATTATGGGGAGTTGACATGAAACATCTTTGCTCCCCTGCCAAAAACCAGAGTTCTGACTTTCTGGGTGAGGGACTGTGATGGTTAGAGATCAGGCTGTAACTTAATGGGTAGTAAAAAAGCAAAGAATGTCACCCAGATCTGCTTGATCTTGGCACTGTAGATTATAGGGTTCATTAATGGAGGGAACAAAAAATAGACATAACTCATGAGGTGGATGATATGTGGAACATATTGATGTTCCACAAACTGATGAATCAGAGACAATCAATCACTGTGACATAGAAAACCAGGACACAACAGACATGGGACACACAGGTATTGAGGGCCTTGACCCTCTCTTCTCTGGAGGCAATGCTCAGGACACTCGAGTATCAACACATAGGAGATGAAAATAATCACAGGATCCAGCATAGATATAAGGACTACAAGGACCACTGGATACAGTTGATTGAAGGTAGTATCAGCACAGGCCAGTTTGATGACATCCTGGTGAAGGCAGACTGCCTGGGAAAGGACATAGGAATGGCAGTAGGGAAAAAAATAAAGGGGCAAGATTGGGGGGACAACAGATACAAGCTGCCTCATCAGAACTCCCAGCCCAGTCTTCACCATTAGAGTATTAGTGAGTATAGAGGTATATCTAAGGGGGTTGAGGATGGCAATAAAATGATCATTAGGCCATAGCAAGCAAAACTCCGAATTTCACAAAGGAAAGTAAGTGTATCAAGTAGGCCTGAGGAAAGCAGGCTACGTTTCCAATCTCCCTGTGATCCAGCCAGAGGACTCCCAGCACCGAGTCAAGTCAGCTCTGTATCTGTGGCTGCCAGCATGGACAAAAATAGTACATAGGCTCATGGAGATTATGATCTTCCTTAATGAGAAGGAGGAGGATGCCATCACCAAAAAGGACAGAGAGGTAGAAAAAAAGGAAGGGTGTGGAAATCCAGTGATGAGCTGCCTCCAAGTCTGGAAAACCAGTCAAGAGGAAGGAATTTAAGCTGCTGTTGGGCCACATGTGAGGTTTCTCCAGGGGAAATGTTCTTTTATTTCCTCAGTTATTACCATAGAAATGCAGTTCCACGTTCAAGGTATCACTCCAAATGTATATTCTCAGAATTCTTTCTTATAGGTAAGAATGACATCAATATAAGCCATTGTTTTTGAGAATATATTTGTAAGACAATCTATAGTTTTTGAGTTCTTAACTGCATATTCCAGGAACCATCACTTACCTGAGTAATCAAATCCCTAGAACCTCACCTGGTCATCCGCATGTCCACAAGCTCCCCAGGGAATTTCTCATGCATACTACAACTTAGATCCATTTTTATTAATTATGCTGCTTTCCCAGAATAATCTATCCTTGAGGAATTTCAAGAAACTCAACTCTAGTGTCATTACAATCCACTACCTAAAATGCAATTATCTTCACGGTAGGGCTTCCTTAACGCACATTGTCCTGCATATGTATGATTTCTCAATAAAAGTGTCAAGAGTCTAAGAGAAAAATGTATAAGAAAAGAAGCTGTGCCACCACCATGTTTCCTAAGGAGCAGGTTGATGTCAAGAAGAGACACTTTGCCTCCCATTTCATGTATTAGTTTTTGGAGAACAAAAATAATTACCTTAAGTAATTATCAGCCCCACCCAGACGGTACACAATACTCACTACCACTATTGTGGCCCAAACTGATTAAAATTTAGATGAACATAGACCCTCAGACTGGAATAAATGCTTAGGCCAGGGATGGCTCTGACTCATGATAGCTTCTCCTTGTATCTGAAAATTTTTATATTCTCTTATTTTCATGTAGCTTCTTTCTCTTTCCCCATTATTTTTCTGTCAGCCCTCTAAAATAACTCCCCAGGACTTGATTTCTCTCCTTTCAAATTCTCCATTTGTATTAAAAAAAAGAAATCTTGATTTTTTTCCTTTTATATCTAACCATAGGCTTCTGAATGCATCTTATGCAACATTAAATGAGGCTCATTGTTGCTTAAAGAGAGCATTTCCTGCTAATGGATGAAGATGCACGTCCTTTAAGAAGTCTTTGACATTTCTCCTGCCACTAGCCTATGGGCTTCTTGTTTTATTTGCCATACTCAATACCTAGCAAAGTACCTAATATGTGAGATATATGTGTATATGTGTACACATACATCAATAATACATATATAAATGTACATATCTATGTGCATGTATATATATGTATACACATGTATTTATATACATTATACACCCAACAGTTTTTGAACACCCAATGTATGATAAGCATGGCATTTTAAGCACTGAAAACAAATGGTCATAAGATAAAGTACCTGATTTTATAAATTATAAGGCTTAAAACTAAGCGAAATGGGAGGTGGAAGTGAGGTTTAAGACAGAGGGGACATATGTATACCTATGGCTGAGTTATGCTGGTATATGGCAAAAATCACAATATCATAAAGCAGTTATCTTCCAATTAAAGATAAATTCAAAAACTAAATGAGAAAAATTTATATACATATAACAGTAATTTTAGATTAAAACAGTACTATTCAATAGATTGTTTGAAATTGTATTGCATCCAGGTTCCAGGTTAGTCTAGTAGTTTGTGTGACCTGAGACTGCATCTCTGAGGAGGTGCCATTGAGCTGAGACCTGAATAACAAGGAAGAGCTGGACATGTGAAGATCTAGAGGAAGATTGCTTCATTGATAGAGGAAAATAGGAAAATTAGCATGCCTGGAGCTTGGTGAGCAAACAGAAGAGGTGTAACAGGGAATATCAGAAACCCAGGCAGCGGTCAGGTTTCATACGTCCTTGAGACACTAATAGGAATTTTGTTTTAACTACAAATGCAATTAGCAGACAGTGAAGAGTTTTAAAAATCTCAGTGGAGGAGGAGCAATGACATATTATGATTTGCATTTTGAATGATCACTTGGGCTGCTAAGAGCAGAATGGATTATCAGGAAAGATAAAAGGAAGGAGAAAGCTATTGAAATAATTTAAATGAGAGGTGATGATGACTCTGACAAGGAGAGCAGCAGTGGTAATGGAAAAAAAATTAGATAAGGATGCACTTTTGAGGAAGTACCAAGATGCATGTTGGAAATGAGAATGAGGGGGAAATGAAATGAGAATACTTCAGATTTCTTGAACTAATGGGAGACTGGTAGAAATTTTATACTCAAAAGGGATAGTCTGAGGGAGGTATACATTTACTTGTGAAAATGTCAAGTGCCATCAGTAAATATGACTGAATTTGAGCAAATGAATGTTCTACTTTTTGCCTGTCACATACTACAATGTTTTTAAGCTCTTTTTTTCTTTCAAATTAAAAAGATGGTTTCATTCAAACATGGTTCTTTGAAGTTATTTTGCCAAAGTAAGCCACCACCCATAAGATGCTCCCAAAGAAAACTATCTTCTTACCTTCTACATTTATAGATGAGATCGAGCTGCAAATTTCCAGCAGCAAAGAGTTGCCAGACAACTGGGCATAAGGGTATGGTTCAGCCCTTTTGGATTGACCCTGAGGAATGGAAAATTGACAGAATCTCTTCTCATTCTCCCTATTCTGTCCTCAGAAGTGAGAGACAAACTAAAATTTAATGCTTATTCAAAATATAATAAGTGATGTTTATTCTTCAATCACTGGATGCAAATATCATCCCACATGGCTGATCCTCTTCTATGTTCTTAATGCAGCTTCATTCCTTTTCTCTGACCCTTCAACAGTGATATTCTTTAATTAACCCAATCTCTTACTGAAATTTTGTAAGAAACCCCTCTTGTTAAAGACTATATAGCAAAAGTAGTGTATCACTACAGAAAAAAAAAAACCTACACAAAGTAGAAGGGATCAATTCTATTTTGCCAATAGCTTTCAACTCAGTTCCCTCTTCTCCATTCCCAAGAATTTCATGCAGATACATATTGTACTTTATGCTGTAGTAAATGCACATGTCTTTGGCTGGGAGCTTCTGTAGGTTTATGAGAAGGAACTTGAGTGAAAAGATAAAAGCTGAGGAAACACCATAGGGAAGGGAAAAAGGATCCCAAAGTTGAGGATAAGATCAGGAAGAATTTCTAGTTGAGTGTCCCAAAATTTATGTAACCTAATACCATTCACAGGGCTTTCCAGATGGTGCTAAGTTGTAGAGAATCTGCCTGACAATGCAGGAGATGTAAGAGATGCTGGTTTGATCCCTGGGTCAGGAATACACTCTGGAGGAGAGCATGGCAACCCACTCCAGTATTCTTGCCTGGAGAATCTCAAGGACAGAGGAGGCAGATGGGCTATAGTGGGATCGCATAGAGTTGGACATGACTGAACCAACTTAGCACACATGCAATGCCATTCACAGCCATAATTCTTCTCTGCATCATTGAAAAGTCTGGTAGAATAAGAGGTACCACTGTATTCACCACCTAGAAAGAATAGGAGACATATGGGAAGGTCAACCATATTTTTATCACTGGACATGGTAGGTCTTAAGATACTCATGCCCATTGCTCTCCCCAAGTGTAACCAACTTCAATCCAAGATCTATGCACTGTTTGAGAACTATGGGCTCTATTTATCCTTCCCTTCCTCCCCTTGTCATCTCTCTAGAAAGCTTAGAGAGGGATCTCCCAGTTTCCTCTTTTTGGATCTCCTGGGTATTTCACTACTCACATGCGCATGGATTGTTAGGAATGAAGAGCAAGGTTTGGAGTTCCAGCCTGAAGACTTAGTTTTGTGACTGCTTCTCAAAGTCTGTTAAATGAGCCAGTCAGGGAGGTTATTAATAAAGAAAGCATCTCCCTAGAGTTCTTCCTTTTCCAGCCATTCAGGATCTTAAGAAATATCGCCTCTATCTTAACCTCTCTGTGAAGGAGATGGAAAGCATAATTAAGGTCTCAAAGTATTTTCTCCAAATAAAATATGACGCTAATACAGCCTCAGCTGACATTTTGATGTGAGAGGAGTCAAAAGCTTGTTTTTATGGCCCCAGGAGACCCTGGCATCACCAATGGGAGGCCATTTATCCTTCACATCTACTTTAAAAGTCAACTTTTTCCCAGCTGTTCTCAGGAGGAAACTGAAGCATCTTCTTGGCCTGTCTTTTGAATGCTAATTATATTTTCTGCTTGGTTTATCTCAGAGCTAGCTTGAGAATAGCAAGTTAGGTGGACTAAAGTCAATATGGTTCAAGCCAAGCAGCTTCTCCTAGAACCTATGGTGAACCCAGAATCGGCAGTCCTCAGCATTCCTTTATTATTTATTACACAAGAATTGTTTTCTTTTCCTAGAACTGGAGTGGGCATAATTACAACACAGTATTTCAGACAAGCATACTCTATCACTTTAGTCCTAAGCATGATAAAATCTGTTGTTTCCTTTTCAACTCTTCTGGCCACACCACATGGCTTGCAGGATCTCAGTTCCCCCATCAGGAATTGAACCCAGGTCATGGCAGCAAAAACCCAGAATCCTAACCATTAGTGCCTCCAAGGCTTACCAGGTGGTACTAGTGATAAAGAAACCTCTTGCTAATGCAGAGACATAAGAGATGTGGGTTCTATCCCTGGATTGGGAAGACCCCTGGAGAAAGGCATGGCAACCCACTCCACTATTCTTGCCTGGAGAATTCCATGGTTAGAGGAATCTGGCAGGCTACAGTTCATAGGGTTGCAAAGAATCCGACAGGACTGAAGTGACTTAGCACACACACACACAGACACAGGCCATCAGGAAGTCTCTCTTCTCCAGCTCTTATAGAAACCATCCTGCCTCTTACCATTAGCAGAAAATAAATATATATTACCAGAAGAACACATTTTCCCAACCCTGAAGAAATGTTTTGGAGCTTGCCCATGCTTTGTTAAGATTAAAGTAATGTTAAGAAGATCCCCTGGGGAAGAGAATGGCAACCCACTCCAGTATTCTTGTCTGGAGAATTCCATGAATAGAGGAGCCTGGTGGGCTACAGTCCCTGGGGTCACATAGAGTCTGACGTGACTGAATGACTAACACACACACACACACACACACACACACACGCATTGCAAATCAGAGGACCAGATGAATTCAGCTAGAATCATCAACTCTTTAGTAACTGTTAAAGGCTAAAGTGTGCCATCCCTTTCCCCCCACAAAAAAATTATATACATAAGTCTTCCCCCTTAGTACCTCAGAATGTGACTGTACTTGGAGAAATACCTTTAAAGTGGTCATTAAGTTAAAGCGAAGCTGTTAGAATGGGTTGTAATCCAATCTCACGTGTCCTTAAAGAAAAGGAAATTTGGGCACGCAGAAAGACACCAGGGGAAAAAACATGTGGAGACACAGGGAGAAGATGGCCATCTCCAAGCCAAGGAGAGAGGCTTCAGAAGAAACCAACACTGTTGCCAGCTTGAACCTGAATTTTTAGCTTCCATACCTGTGAGAAAATAAATGTCTGTTGATTTAAGCCATGCAGTCTCTAATATTGTTATGGCAGCCCTAGAAAACTAGTACTCTAGCAATGTAAACATGAGCAAGTTACATAATCTCTTTAATACTGAATGTATATTTAGGTGTAAATTTAATTTAAAAATGTACAGATGTTAAAAATTATAAAGTCATAATGAACAACATCAAAGAAGACCTAAATAAATGGCAAGACAACATATGTTCATGGATCAAAAGACTCAGTGTAGAAAGATGTCAGTTTTCCTTAAATTGAATGAGAAATTTAATGCAATTTCTGTCAAAATCCCCGCAAAACATTTTAGTAACATAGACAAGCTTTTTCTAAAATTTGTATGGGGAAAAAAAAGGATCTAAATAATTAAAATAGTTTAAAAAAATAAAATGGGAAGAATAAGACTATTCCAAATTAAGGATTATTATATAGCTCTTACTTAGTCCAAGTTCGTTCTGCTCGCCACATGACAGACCAATAAATTCTAGAGATGCAGTGTTGAGGGAAGGGACGGACTGTATTTGGAAAGCCAGCTCACAAAGGAGATGTTAGGTTACAGTCTCAAGGTAACCATCTCATTGGGGCCTGGGTGCCAGATTCTTTTATAGGACAGAGATGGAGGGGGAGAGGAAGCAGGAAGCAAAGTAAAAAGGCCATTAATCTTGCAAGTATCCTAGAATGGCAAGCCTCAGGGAGGGGGTCTGTTCGTTTCTTCCTTCCAGCCATCCGGAGAACAGGGTCCTGAACAAAAGCACTTTAACAGCCAAACAGAGGGCAGGTTTCTCTGAGGCAGACCATTATGTTTGATTATAATAACAAAAGCAATGGAAAACAGGTAAAAGAAACAGTTCAGCCTGGTAGTCAGAATTGGCCCTTCCCTGCAACAAAGCTTAAGTAATCGAGACTGTATGGTATTGGTAGAAGGATAAGCATAAAGATTATTTTTTTTAAACCTCCATGGTAACGGCACCAATTATCCCACCAAAAGTACACACAGGTTCTCTTTTCTCAAAATCCCTGCCAATGTTCGTTATCTCTAGTCTTTTGTTTTGTTTTGTTTTGTTTTTAACAGTAGACATCCTAACAGGTGTGAGGCAATATCTTACTGTAGTTTTGGTTTATATTTCTCTGATAATTAGAGATGTTGAGGACCTTTGCATATATCTCTTGGCCATTTGTATGTCTACTTTGGAAAAATGTCTGTATTTTTAGATAGGGAGCACATATTAGTAGTTGCCAGAGGTTACTGATGAGGGAAAGGTGGAAAGAAAGATGGATACGTCTATAAAGGTGTAACAGGAGTAAGCTTTGTTGATAGAGACAGAATGAAGGGATAAAGTAGGAGATTATATAGTTAATCTGAGGGGATTATAAGTAGAAAAATATGGGAAACTCCTGTAAGTTAATGATTACTGGAGAAATCAGGTTTGCTTAACCACAAAACCGTCAAGCTTTCTTAAAAGTAAAACCATGCAACAGAAAGTAGGAGACATGTCCCAAAACAATAAAACAATGGTAGCATGAGACTCATATCATGTCCAGTGAGCTCAGTAAGTTAAAGACCCCCAAAATAGGCTCTGTGCACACACACACACAAACAATCATTCATGGGAAGGTGACTTTTCAAAATGAAAGATCCTCATTGTATTGAGACCTGAAAATATTTTTCCGAAGTTCTGTGACAGTCCTGGCCTAACCATGTAGGATGGGACAAATAAACTTTCCTGCCCATTCTGGGGGAGGAATTGATGATGGAAACATGATGTCTACTCAAGAAAGATGAAAAATTTCGTCTTCCCCTCCCCGCTTTTTCTTTGATTATGAAACTGTAGCCTACTAAGTTCCCACGGTGGGGCAATTCTCACCGGCCCACTTGTAAACCTCACAATCATCCTATTCTAATAAATTATTTCTTATCTACTACTTTGCTCTTGCTGCATTCTTCTCTGCTCTGAGACATAAAGGACTATGGTATTGAAGCTCTTCGGAGCTTCCCTGAAATGGCACCAATTGGTTTCATTGTTAGGATGGATCAATTTTGTATCTTGATATGGTGACACTTATTTGATACAAGATACAATTTTGTATCTTGATTATGGTGTCATTTATATGAATCTACACATGTGATAAAATTGCATAAAGCTATCCACATTGGCACACAAATGAGTGCTTGTAAAACTATTGAAATGTAAATAATCCCTGTGGATTCTACCAATGTCACTTTGCTGGTTTTGATATTTTATTACAGTTACGCAAGATGTTATTATTGGAGGAAAGAGATCAAGATGGCTGGGCTCACTTTCTTTCACAGAAAACATAAAAAATGCAACTATACATAAAACCACTCTTACAAAATCAACCTGGGGACTAGCAGGATGGCTCTTCCACAAAAAAGCCTGTAAAGAAAGGTCCACACAGAGTCTGGTAGAAAAGGAGAAGAAACCTGGTTAGGACCCCCAGCCTTATCAGGGGACACAGAGAAGGAGAGGATATTACTCTGGAGAGCAGAGGGTTCAAGCCACATGTTAGGCACTCTAACACGGGTTTGACAATGGGGAGGTGAGCCTTTAACTAGTTTGGAAACTGTAACTCAGCTGGACCCTATGTGGCTTTCCCAGGATAGTGCTTAGCTGCTCAGTTTTGTCCAACTCTTTGTAAATCCGTGGACTGGGACCTGCCAGGCTCCTCCAGACAACAATACTGAAGCTGGTAGTCAGTCCCTGACTCCAGGAGATCTTCCTGACCCAGGGGTTGAACCCTGGTGTCCTGCATTGTAGGTGGATTCTTTACCACCAGAGCCACCAGGATAGCCCTTCCCAGGATGGGCCTTCCACCTAATCCTCTGATTTGGCTCCTTTCTGAAGTAGTACCTAGGTAATAGTATTTGATGCAAATTTCCTGAGTTGTTTTGCAGAAACACCCAACAGAAAACCACCAAAAGGAAGGTGTTAACTACTTGATGACTGTGAGCACACAGCCCCAGGCTTCCTGGAGCCTCAACCCCGATAGAGTTAACCTCTGTGACACCATCCTGTTCCCTCATCATCAGTCCATCAGAGAACTGTGCACAATTTGATCACATACCCTGCGACCCCCACTGCCTCACCTGGATTATAAAAATGCTTTGTTGATACTCTCTGGCAGCTCGAGGGTTTTTAGGGCACGGACCACCTCAGTTACTTACAAGGCTCTGCAATAAACCTTTCGCTGCTCGAAATTCTGACATTTCCCTGTGTTTGACCTCACTGTGCATCAGCAACTTGAACTTGTGTTGACAAAACCAGTGGAGCTTACTGGAGGGCNTTCGCTGCTCGAAATTCTGACATTTCCCTGTGTTTGACCTCACTGTGCATCAGCAACTTGAACTTGTGTTGACAAAACCAGTGGAGCTTACTGGAGGGCTCTAAGAAACCAAGACTACACTCTTAAAGGACTCACACACAAACTTGTCTCCTCCCAGTCAGAGCAGATTGAAAACTTCCTGGAGCTCTGGCCTGCATTCTGAGACTGCCCTAGGATGCCCCCCAGCCTGCTGCAGCCTGTTTGCCGGGGAGGCTTCCCAACCAAGGCAGAGGCTACCATTGCCAACAAGGGTGCTCACACTTGGAGGGACTGAGCCAGCTTGGACCATAGCCCTACCTCTGACCTGGAAGAAGGCACCCAACATCCCTAGGGAGGGAGCAAAACTAGCTCCAGGGCAGAAGCCCCTTGTCAGAGCTGGCATGCCTGCATAAACCTGGGAGGAAGCGAAGCCAGATGAGTAGTGAGGCATCACCCCTTCAGCCCCAAACCAGTCTCTAACAAAGGAGCAAACAATGGGGAAAAATTATAACCAGCACAGAAGTAGTACAACCCCAAGCCCTCAGGCCCCAGCCACACCCCAAAGCAGACTGCCATCCCATCACACCTGAGAAACCCAGCTTCCTCAGTGCTTCTGCCCCAAACAAAAAATAAATGTTTGCAAGGGCATGGAGAAAAGGAAACCCTAATATGCTGTTGGTGGGAATGCAAATTGTTGTAGCCTCTATAGAAAATTTTTGAGGTTCCTCAAACATTAAAAGTAGAACTGTAATACGATCCAGTAATTCCACTCCTGGGTATACATCCTAAGAGAATGAAAACACTAAATTGGTTGGGGCGGGGGGGAGTGCACTCTAGTTTTCATAGCAGCATTATTTATAATAGCTGGAAAGCCACCTAAGTATTCATCGACAGCCATCAACAGATGGATGGATAAAGATGTGGCATATGTATATATAGACACACAAACATATACATATATATATGATAGGCTTTCCTGGTGACTCAAACCGTGAAGAATCTGCCTGCAATGTGGGAGACCCAGGTTCAATCCCTGAGTCGAGAAGATCCCCTGGAGAAGGGAATGGCTACCTGCTCCTGTATTGTTGCCTGGAGAATTCCACGGACAGAGGAACCTGGGAGACTACAGTCCATGGGGTCGCAAAGAGTCAGACATGACTGAGCGACTTTCACATACTTATATATTATACAATGAAATATTATTCAGGCTGTAAAAAAGAATAAGATTTTGCCATTTGCAATGTCATGGATGGACCTAGAGGGTTATTACGTTTAATGAAATACGTCAAAGACAAATAACTGCATGTTTTCTCTTATATGTGAAACCTAGAAAATAAAGCCAACAAATGAATATAGCAAAACAAACAAACAAAAAAAACAGCTCATAGATAGAATAAACAAGTGGTAACCCATGGGGAGAGCTGGAGTGGGAGGACAAGATAGGGGAAGGATATTAAGAGGTATGGACTAGTAGGTATATAATAAACAAAAAAGATATAATGTACAACACAATAAATATAGCCAATATTTTATAACTTTAAGTGGATTATAAACTATAAACTATTGAATCACTATGTTGTATATCTGAAACTGGTAGAGCATTTCAAATCAACTAAATTTTAATGAAACAAACATAATATTCATTGAGTTAG